GTTGTTATGTTTGAATTGAAAATGCATTGCTATTTGAACATTATCTGAACACTTTCAATAATCACAATTTATGAATACCACTCAAAGTTGTTCTTTTTCCAGACCTTTCTAAATTTAATTAATTTATCTAAATTACTTAACCATTAAAACTATTGAAAAATGTGACAAACCTACTTTTAAGACTATAGTGGCCTAATCATTAATCAGTAACCTGACATTTTGCAAATCATTAAATGTTTTGTATTCTAAGAAGAAAGATTTAACAGTCGAAAAAAAATTTTTTTAATGCTATTTTTAATTAGAATATGATTGAACAGTCTTGCTTTGTAATTGTGATGATGAATCAGTTAAAATTAAAAGTAATTAAAAGATTTATAAATTACTTTATAAATCTTAACTGAATCTTTTATATTAAAATATATAGGTATGTGCCTCTTAATACTAAAGGTCCTGTAATATTATAATGAAGCTGAAAAATTTGTAGCAGCTTGTACCTTTGATACATTTAGATAAACATATGAACTATATCCTATAGATCTTGAAAGGAAAGAAACACTATAGATGAACAAAAATTTAAACTTCAGAAATTATTCTGATCTCATAAAATAAATGTGTTTTTTAATCATTTATCAAAACTATGAACTATTAATTTATAATTATATGTATAGTATTATATGATCTATACTTTGTTTAACCAATAAATGAATTAATTACATATTTTTATTATTTCTTGAATGCTTTTTTAAAATTTAATCTGTACACACACAAATACAATTGTTTTATATCATAAATTAAATCAGTATCTTTGTATCATCTTTAATTTCAACTGTACTGATAAATGTATAACACTGTATGTACTAATAATAATAATAATAATAATGTCAATGCAAAAATACTGATTTAATTTATCTTAACTATAAATTTACTTATTTTTATATACTACTTCATCTTCATTTAATATATAAAGATGTAAAAGTAAAAATGTTTTAAACATTATTAAAGTTTTATCATTAACCAGCTTTAATCTTTTTAAAATGAGCAAATAATAAAAATAAATAAATAAATTCATAACTGCAAATATTGAATAACAGTATCACTACCCAACTGCAATATATCCTACACACTAATAAATTTGAAATTTGTGTATAGCTCATATTAAAATGCAATGTATTCTGAAGATTTAAAAGAATTAAATTTCACAGAGACAAAAACAAACCACAATTTTAGTAATTGATGACAAGATGTTAAATGAAAATAAAACAAATGTTTAACAAATAATAAGTAAAAAATTTAACAAAAATATCTCAAACAATTCTCAATTGACTGTTTTTAAACTTTTACAAATACAAAACAACAAATTTTCTATCAAATTGCCAAAAATATATTAAGAAAAATGTAGATTATGAAAATAAATTTAATAATTGGCATCTGATAAAATCAAAAATGTAGAAAAAGAAAAAATATATATAATTTAAAAATTTATTTTATGATAAAAATATGAACAAATTATTCTAAATATTGGAATTTAAGTAATTTTAAGTTTGATTTTTACCTCATTATTATTATTATTATTTTATTTTTTATTAATTTTAACCAGTAATTGACCTTTAACATACTTTCCGAACGTTTTTAGACTTCACCAAGGCCTACCTCAGGTGTTTAACAAAACTGACTTCCAAAAAATTGGAAATTGAAATTTTTAAAATTTTGAAACTCAATCATTCTAAAATATACTTATAAAATTTTATAAAACTATTTCATATTAATAATCTTTTTTCATACATGCTTTTAAATTTGATTTTTTATACTGTTTCAGTTAACTTCTAAATTAAATGTTTTCAGGATTATAAGTAATTTAGACTTACAGTATACAGTATATAATATATTATAACAATATCTCTTGTTTATATAGGCTTTTTGGTCTGCTGCTTGTTCAAATGCAATAGTTTCAATTGCTTACCTGCCATGTCTGGAAAAAAAAAATATATATACACATATAAAATTATCTTTAATATATCACTTGGTTAAAAAAATTTTAAGTTTTATTAGAAGAAAAATTACCCTGTTCGTCTATTGTTATAATTTCCATAGCTGNAAAAAAAAAATCACTTTTGATGATTATATTTCAACATTTAAACATAATTACATTTATTCTTAAACATTAAACAAGCAATCCTTCATCCATGCTTTTGAACTCTTACCGTGGAGGTGGCGGCGGTCGTCTTCCACCTCTCCTACTTCTTCCATGTGACATTTCCACACGAACACGACTACCACACAGCCGTCTAAAATAAATATAGTTAGGAGAAATGCAAATAAGAAACATTTTAAATAATTTTTTCTCTTCTCTGAATTAAGAATAAAATTTTTTGACAGACAAAACCCTATATCACTTGATTTGATTATGTGTAATATATGGAAATATCTGTAATCAGTTGACTTTTTCCCTAAATGTGTGCTTACGTTCCATCAAGACTTCTGCAAGCATCTTCGGCATCTTGAGGATCTTCAAATTCTACAAAAGCGAATCCGGGAGGATTTCGCGCTACCCACACATTACGTAGTGGCCCAAATTTACTGAAAGCTGCTTCTATTTCATGTTTAGCTGTTCCGCTACCGAGATTGCCAACATAAACTTTGCATTCCAAACTCCATTCTCGAAATCGTGACATAATATAAAGTTCTGAAATAAAGAATAAAAACTAAAGTAAAACTGAAATAAAATAAATGAACAAGAAATAATGAAAATTATTGATATTTTAATATACCTCATAGGAAATATTGGTGATTTTAAAAATTATTTTATGAAATAATAAATTTGCCAAAAATTAAGTAATGATGTTTTTACAAATTCATATATAAATAAATTAATAATTAATAATCTGCAACACTGTTAACATTAAAATTCAATGAAACATTACCTTTAAACAGTAAGAAATATTTGAATCTAATATTTTTGGTCTAATTTACAGATCATCATTTGGATTCTTTATTAATTAAATTTATTCCATAACATGCAATGTTAATGTTCTCAAACATCTAAATTCAAATCTGATAATGGCTATTAACATAGATGAAACCATTTTGTCAAACTGATGCTAGAATATATTTTCAACGAAAATTTTAATTAAAAATGAAAAATAAAGTTCCAGAAAATGATCTTAAAGCTTGAAAATAATTTACAATATTCAACTACTCAAAACTGGGTATATTAATAAGCAAAACACATGAAACCAATTTCCAGCAAAATTTTACAAGAAAACAAACGTTTTTCAACTGTGTTTAATAGGCATTGTCATGCTAATTGCAGTTTGAATGCAGATCCACATGTTAAAAGTGGGGTGACATAACAGAAAGAGGGGGGAGGAGAAGAGGGTTGTAAGATTAAACTTTGTAGATCAACTTCCATGCATGGGGAAGAAGTCTACATCTTGAAAGTAGTGTTACCACCTGTCCGGTTTTCACCCAGACAGTCTGAGAATTGACTCACTGTCCAGGTGAACTATTAATTTTGTCCAGGAATTTCGTAGAAATTGTGAAATTACAATGAAACAAAGTTCTTACAAATATTTTTACAAATTTACACTATTTTAACAGCAATAGAACTCACACCCACTGAATCTCATCTACAATTCTGCCATGTTCATCTGTTTACGCTGACATGTGGCACGCAACTTGTTGACTTTTTTTTTCTTTTTGCAAGTATGATCATACACATCTACAGGCTAAGTTATCTAGCACATTATTCTTCGCATTGTAAAATGACATTGCGCATATGTGACCTGCACAACTTCTGTTCAAACAACTTGGCCTGCCGTCCGGGTCAACAATTTTGAAAAGGTGAACACTACTTGAAAGCTTATAGTCACTTTTTTCTAGCAGCTTTGTAAATTTCAAATTACAGTAGAGCGTTGATTATCCGAAAGTCAATCATCCGAAAGAATTCCAGTCGCCAAATTTAAATTTTCGCCAGTGCTGTGGCGCTGCAATCTTTGGCTATGTCTTGGGC